TAAAAAATAATAAATTATTAGCATAGGTTTAAATTTAATTTGATGTACAATAGATTTATTTTAGAATATTCTTATGATGACTAAGAAACTATCATCTTAGACTATTGATTGGTGTAAGCGTAGCTGGCTATTACCGGTTATTAATTCCGATTGTCACTGTATTTACCTTAAATACCATTACTAAATCTATATATAGCTCCTGTATTCACCTCAATAATAATAAGATACGTTTTATATTTTCTTCTACTTTCTTGCTTCCTCCTGTTGGCTATCTTCTCTATCATGGTATCATGAGCCAAACCATGGCAGATCAAGATTCAGCAAATTCCCACCGTCCGCTCCGTCCACTATCTCCGGCAACAACTCCGACGAACTTCAAATTCCGGCCCAGTTAAAATTTCTCATCTCCAACATCAAGAACCTCATACCCCACGCTCTCACCACGGACAACTACGCCATATGGCGTATCCAGATTCTCCAACAATTCATCGCAAATGGATATTCCGGCCATCTTACCGGTCTATCCCCCTGCCCCGCCGACAACATTTCCCAAGCTTCTCACCGTTGGCATCTCGTCGACAATAACCTCCTCTCCGCGCTCTTCTCAACGATCTCCCCTACAATTCTTCCCTACGTTATCAACGCCACCACCGCACAAGAGGTTTGGCAAATTCTTGAAAGACGCCTTCAACCCACGTGCAGATCGCGTGTCATTCAGCTCAAGAATGAGCTTCACCATGTACAAATGCAAAACCACACGATGCAACAGTACCTTAACAAAGTCAAAAATATCGTCGACAACATTGCCGCCTCCGGCTCCCACGTCGACGCAGAAGACATTATCATTCACATCATGAATGGCCTTCCACCATCATACAACCCCTTCAAAGCGGCAATTCGTACGTCTCCTCTCCCGATCACCCTTGACAATCTTTATTCTCTCCTCTGTAGCGAAGAAATCACGGTCAATCAAGACATTGCTCGTGAAACCGCTTCCGTCTTCGGCAACACGGCCCTCTACGCAACATCCGGAAATCAATCAAGAAACCGATATTCACGCTGGGCTACCAAGAACAAGAACCCTTCTCCCGGATCTTCCCAAAATATGACGTATTCCCCTTCGCCAAACAATCAGGCTCCAACCACTCAGGCTAGGCCTATTTGCCAGATCTGTAACAAGATTGGCCACTCCGCTTTGAACTGCTGGCATCGCAATAATCCAAAATTCACTCCAACTCTGTAACAAATGGCTCCCAACTTCCTGTTCTTCACTCCGGGCAAGGTCTTCTACCAATCCCGGACACCCCTCGTAAGCTTCATTTACGTAATTTACTCCATGTACCTCAACTGTCTCACAACTTATTATCTATCTCGCAATTAACCACTGACAATCCTGTTAATGTAAGTTTTGACGCTAATGGTTTCACGATTAAGGATATCAAGCACCGCCGTCCACTTCTTCATGGGCATCTTCTTAATGGGCTGTATCGGATTCGTCGCACCTCTCGCCCTCCTTTGACCGCTCTGCACACTCGTATATCTCCGGAACATCTCTGGCATGGAAGACTAGGACACCCGCATCAACGACGTCTTCAAGCTCTCATCAAGAATATTCCCGGCCTTAAGCATGTTTCTTCAAATTTTTCTTGCACTTCTTGTACGGTTTCAAAATGTCACAAAACACCCTTTAATAAAATTGTTTCTACTACTTCAGCTCCGTTCGATCTCATACACTCCGACGTATGGGGACCGTCTCCATACCCATCCACTCATGGCTTTCGTTATTATGTCGTTTTTATCGATGATTTCACTTGGTTTTCATGGATCTTTCTGTTAAAAACAAAACACGAAATGATTTCAAAATTTAAGCTGTTTTGTCATCAAATAAAAACACAATTAAATAAAACTCTGAAAATTTTTCGCTCTGACGGCGGAGGCGAATTCATAAGCAATGAATTTATTTCCTTTCTTCAACAAAATGGCATACAACGTCAACTTAGCTTCCCTCATACTCCAGAACAGAACGGTCTAGCGGAGCGAAAACATCGCCACCTTCTAGATCTCACTCGCACTATGCTACACGCTGCGAACATACCCCTAACCCACTGGACCGAAGCACTATCCACTGCGAACTACTTGATCAACAGGTTACCTTCATCTGTGCTATCCTACCACACTCCGTTCCACCGGCTTCACGGACGCCTACCAACCTACAATCATCTTCGCACCTTTGGATGCCAATGCTTCCCTTGGCTCAAGCCCTATGCTGACAATAAACTCACACCACGTTCTCAAGAATGCGTATTCATTGGCTACTCACCGATACATAAAGGATACAAATGTCTTGAACCCATATCAGGTAAGATCTATATTTCATGACATGTTGTCTTTAATGAGTTTGTATTTCCTTATAAAAACAGGTTCCCAACCAGCTTAAACAACTCAACACCGACTCCGTCTCTTAACTACCCGCTGCTCATGACTCCGTATTTTGTCCAGTCTAAGCCCTCTCACACATCAACCTCGACATCCATTCCGATCTCTACCCACTCCTCTATCACAACCCCTGTCCGCCCCGATGACAGTTCACCATGCTCCATACCTCTCTCATCTGACCAAGGACGTACCAACTATAACTTGGCACCTCCTTCCCATCACATGTAGACCCAGCTTAAGTCCGGCATCACACGACCCAAGAAAATTTTCTCTCTTACTACTACAACTTCTCCTCCTGCCACACCCAGCTCCTACGCCCAAGCCGCAAAACACTCACATTGGCGCCAAGCAATGTTGGAAGAATTCACTGCTCTCCAAAACCAAGGGACTTGGACCATTGTTCCGGCTCCGTTAAACAAACCCGTGTTAGGGTGCAAATGGACCTTTAAAATCAAAACATTACCAGATGGAACCATAGACCAGTACAAAGCTCGCCTCGTTGCCCAAGGTTTCGATCAACAATTCGGTGTTAACTACACGGAGACCTTTAGTCCGGTAGCAAAGATGACCACGATTATGATTCTTCTTACACTCGCTCTAAATCAGAATTGGCCGATATTACAACTCGACGTCTCCAACGCCTTCCTCCACGGAGAACTATTCGAAGACATCTACATGCGTCAACCCGTCGGCTTCGTGGATTCTGTCTCTCCATCCTCAGTCTGTAAGCTCAACAAATCTCTTTATGACCTTAAACAGGCACCCAGGAAATGGTTCGAGAAACTCACACGCTTCCTTCAGTCACAAGATTTCAGGTTTAGTCGCTCCGATCCATCTCTTCTTCTTTACTAATCCGATAACACACAAATCTTTATCTTAATCTACGTTGACGACATTCTTATCACATGTAACAATGCCGAAGCGATTAAACTTCTGCTCTCCAAACTTCAACAACAATTCGCTCTAAAATAACTTGGAGAGCTATCACTCTTTCTCGGAATCTAGATTATCAAACAGCCGTCCGGCCTCTTCCTCACCCAAGAACATTACGCGGACAAATTGCTTCACGAGTCCGGCATGACCGAATGCACTCCAGCTCCCACTCCTATATCTCCGAAGTCCAAGTCCAACGGCGCTGATCCGCAACCGTTCTCCGATCCCACTCTCTACAGACGCATTGCCGGCTCCCTCTAATACTTGTCTATAACTCGCCCGGACATCGCATTTGCCACAAATCAAGTCTGTCAACACATGCATCACCCTACAACACAGGACTTCAAGGCTCTCAAACGTCTGCTTCACTATGTCAAGGGAACCAAATCATACGGTCTTCCTATCACACCCGGAAAACTCACGCTCGAGACCTATACCGACGCTGACTAGGCCTCGGACAGCTCCGACCGCAAGTCCATCTCCGGGTTTTGCACATTCCTTGGACCAAATCTGGTTTCTGGACGGTCAAGAAGCAGGTGACTGTTGCCAAATCATCTACCGAGGCCGAATATAGATCTCTCTCCGCCGCAACCTCAGACGTGATTTGGCTCCGCCGTCTTGTACACAAGCTTGGGCTTCCACAACAACAGTCGACCACCATATATTGTGACAACACGTCCGCCATCGCACTCGCGAAAAACCCAGTTTTTCACTCAAGAACCAAGCACATCGAGATAGACTACCAATTTATCAGACAGCACATCAACTCGGGAGCCATCTCGATTGCCCATATACCTTCGGAAGCACAGATCACGGACATCCTAACAAAACCATTCTCCATTAATCGCTTTCACGACCTTCGCAACAAATTAACCATTCGACCAAATAATGCTTAATTTGCGGGAGGATGTAAGCGTAGCTGGCTATTACCGGTTATTAATTCCGGTTGTCACTGTATTTACCTTAAATACCATTACTAAATCTATATATAGCTCCTGTATTCACCTCAAAAATAATAAGATACGTTTTATATTTTCTTCTACTTTCTTGCTTCCTCCTGCTGGCTATCTTCTCTATCAATTGGAAGCTAATTAATTTTTCAACTAAGAGATCTTAAATTTGAGGCTTCTAAGTGTGTGTACATTTATATTACGATCATTTCAAAAAAATATTCTTATTAAATTTATATTTAAATATTCTGAACAAAATAAAAAAAATAAATAAAAATACCTGTATTATTGCAACTCGTAGAATGTCACCATGGAGGCCCATAACTATAGATCCAATTGCCATGGCAGCCGGCCCAGCAACAAATCGTAGTACCAATGCAAAAATGGTCAAGCTCGGCCCACAAGCGATGATCTTCTCTTGCTGGGCCATGAACAGCCCTGAAACATTTTATTTTCAGCAGAGACCTTCATCAATTACTAATTACGTATATATCCTCAAATATTAACAAAAAAAAATAATAAATTATGAAAATGATTTATCTACCCATGCTAAACATTGCCATTCCTGCACCAGCCTTGGACATGATTAGCACCGATCCTTCTATGATGAACGGCAAATCAAAGTGCCACCTGGTAAGATCCTCACCATCAGATCAAAATCGAATGGATAATATTTAATCAAAATAATTTATTTCATAATAATTAATAAAATACAATAAAGGTTTATATATACTTGTTTTAAACATGCGATATTACATATTTATCTTTGAACATAAAAATATAATTAATATAAAAAAAATTCACATATTTTTTAATATTGTCATTTACTTTTTAATCTCAAATATTATTAAACACCAAAGCATTAATCATAAAATATGAAATCTTCTTCATAAAATTATAATAAGAAATATCTCTTAGGAATATTATTGATTGGTGCCCTAATGATGCATAAATAATACTTAACTAATTATTTTAGAATAGTAATGATCCATAAATACTTTAACTAATTAGATCGGAAAAAAAATTAAGATATCTTGGTATAATTTGTAAACCATTAAATTTGCTTTGAGATTTGTGTTATACACAAAGAGTTTACATTACACTACTCTTAAATAAATTCAAATGATTTTCAATCTTATTTTAATATAAATTTGTTTTGAAA